GTATCTGATGTGTATTTTTTTTTTTTTTTGGTTTTTCGAGACAGGGTTTCTCTGTAGCTTTGGAGGCTGGCCTGGAACTCACTCTGTAGACCAGGCTGGCCTTGAACTCACAGAGATATGCCTGCCTCTGCCTCCCGAGTGCTGGGATTAAAGGCGTGCTCCACCAACACCCGGCTGATGTGTATTTTTGTAGGTGAACGAACCACAGTGCACACATGGATGTCAAAGGTCAACTTTGTGGAGTGGGTTCTCTCTTACTTTTACATGGGTTTCAGGTATGCAACTCGGGTCATCAGGCTTGCACAGCAAGTACAGCACCTAGAAGCCATCTTGCTGTCACCCCCTCCCCCCATGGACTCTCTCAACGAAATGTTTTCAGAAGCATATAATAAAATGCATATTACTGAGACGGGCGTTGGTGGCCCACGCCTTTAATCCCAGCACTGGGGAGGCAGAGGCAGGCCGATCTCTGTGAGTTTGAGGCCAGCCTGGTTTACAGAGTGAGTTCCAGGACAGCCTCCAAAGCCACAGAGAAACCTTGTCTTGAAAAACCAAAAAAAAAAAAAAAAGTACATTACTGAACATCAAGCAAATTGCATTGAAACACAGGTGTTAAAATATTAAAATGTTTGTGATAAAGTAATTTAAGTGTATCTTTATAATGAACTTGGCCAGATTTGTAGAAGCTTCCGTGACGACTATGGATACCTACTGATAAACATGAATCCTGTGTCAAAGACCTGCAGCAGCTGTGGATTAGAAGGAAAGCATCAGAGGACCCTGGTTTGTAGTCTTTATTCCTAATGGAAGAAACTTGCAAATTTCATTTACAGATTAGTGAAAAAAGATGTAGCATCCCCTGCCCAAGTTCATGAGTGCCAACTGAAGGCAGCTGAGTTAGTAAAATGCTCTGTGAATGAAGAGGGCCTCCGCATGCCCAACCAATCTGGAGCTCTCTGCAGATACCCTCATGGGTGACCATGGGTGACATGATCTTTTGCCTTCCCTGGTACTCCTATAGAGGTAGTTCTGTTCTCTCTCTGGGACATTCTGCCCTTAGGGTTGGACAACTCCAAGGGCTCTCACTTATCTAAAGAGATTCTGGGGACCCAGTCAGTGCCTGTCCCAGAGCTAGCAGTAGAGAGAGACAAAGGGCCCACCTGGAACTAATCACTTTATCCATCCATTCACTCTCTGGCCTTCTACTCTCTGTCAGGCCAGGCACTGGATATTCTGAGATTTAATTTCATAAAATATCTGTGTGTATGTGTGCAGACATTGTTCTCAATGCTGTGTGCTGGAGGTAAAAAAAAACAAAAACAAAACATACACACATACACACACAGAGACAGAGAGAGAGACAGAGAGAGACAGAGAGAGACACAGAGAGAGATCTGTCTTTGGAGATGATATGTGCTAAATGCACAAACACATATGGCATTGAAGTTTGTGAAAAGAGCTATGACTAGAGAAGACTCAGGGGAAAGTGAGATGAGGGGATGTCAAAGAAATCTTCCTGGGGAAAGTGACCTTTAAAGCAAGACTTGGAAGGCCGTTTTGCTAGGAGGGACTTGTACAGAGTACTCCAGGCAGAGGGCTATGTACTGTGTGGATCAGGTCAGGGGACAGGAGACCCTGGGCCAGGGGAGGCTGAAGAGGAGGACTGAATGCCCTGCCCGTCAGGGGCCTGGGCAGAAACTTGAACACTATTTTATGAACCAGGAGTAGCTCCCCGGACAGTACCCAGAAATTTTCAGGCTTACAGCAAAGATTAACAGGGAAGATATTAAAAGAATGAGTGAAGAGGACTTTTGCCTTTGTGTGGTGAACGTCCACCTTGAGGGCTGGGGATGTAGCTCAGTGGCAGAGTGCTTGCTTAGCACGAGCTAGGCCCAAGATTCAATTCTTCGTACCACAGGAGGAAAACAACAACAAAACCGGAAGAAATTAAACACCCCTCTTGAACGTGTGTCACTTGGCTTTTTCTCAGTCTGAGCTCTCTGTGTGCATGGTGCATAGCTTTCCCCATCGTATTCTTCTGTGCTGTGGCAAGAACCCTAGCCTGGGATTGGAGTCACACAGTGCCACCTCCTGGCAGTAGATAGAATGGCAGGCAAGATGTTGGAGGGAGGGAGGGAAGGAGGGAGAGGTGTGGGAAAGCAGGCGCACCCATTCTAGTCTGGTAGGAGGTTTGTTTAGGGGGCAGGTGATTACAGATGAGAACTGGGCAAGAAACAGGCGGGAGGACCCGAGTGCAGGATGGAACAGCTGCTGAGAACAACTTTGGGATTCAGCCAGGCAACCATTGACCCTGTTACCTTGGGAACAGGGATGTTGTTCATAAGACTGGGGAGACAAGCCTTTCTCTGAGTGAGATCAGGGGCCTAGCCTTAAAGCCAAGTGTCCACCCATTGCCCGTCCCCCCCCCCACTTTCCAGAACAACTTGTTTTTCTTTAAAGTGTGGGACTTTGACCTGGGAGCTCTTTCCTCCCCTTGGTCACCTAGTCCTTCCTACTCATCCTGCCTACTGTGCTCTGGGAGCCTCTGCTTCCTGCTGGGATTTTAGGGAAGCTGGGTGTGCTTGGGGAAAGAGACTGTTCTCCCATGCTGGGCAGAGGCTGGGGTGTTCCCCGAGGTCATGAGCTAGTGAGCGGGTACCACAACAGGAGCCTCTCTGCACACCTCTCTTTGGATCTCTACCCTTGGCTGCTGGAGTATCCCACTGTTCCAGGATTTCGATTTCCTGCTTCATCCTGCCTCCTCTTTCTTTGAAATACCTGTGTGTTGGGTCTGTGTTTGATCCCTCAGTTCAACACACACACACACACGCACGCACGCACGCACACATACACACTACATATCTCAGAGACGCCATGTGCTCCACCTATGACCACTCACTCAGTTGCCCAGGTTAGAAACTTACCCTGACAGTTACCCACTCCTTACCTCTCCAGCTAGGCATGCGTCTAGAAACCACACCCTGGCTTTTCTACCTCCCAAGCACTGATCAAAGCCTCTTCTAATGCAGCCCAGTCAGGGACTGCAGGTCTCGCACACAGCAACAACGCCAAAGTCTGCCTCTCCTATCTCTAATGACCTTTTCATTTCCTCAAATGGAGATTTCACCTTGGTCTCCTACCCCCTGCTTAGAAGCAACAAGGAAGGCAGGGCAGATATTTGTAAAATTCTGCCCCATTCCTTTCATTCCAGCCAGTGGTTCCCTGGCTGTTCATTAACTCCTGTCATGGCCGTTCCTCTGTGCTCCCAAAGATTCTCAAAGCAGGTTACATGTGATATCACTCAGCCCCATGAAGAGTTTCCCTGCAGCCTCCTGGAGGCTAACCCACTGCTGCATGGTCACAGGTCCACTGCACAAGCATGAAGGTAGGCTTACACACATGCATGCCCGGAGGAAGCAGGTTCAGGGCTCTCCCCTGACTTGAGCAGCAGGGTTGTCATCTCTGGACCTCTCTTGGTCTGTCAGCATTTCCTTCCTTCTTCCTTTCCTCTCCTTTGATTTTTTTTTGTTTGTTTTTCTTTGGACAGGAGCTAGGACCTGTTGGCAAATGTGACCCAGGACAAGCAGTGCTGTGGAAGATCTCACAGGTACAGGCCCCGTACCACCCACAGCGCCATTGAGAGTGTGGAATGCCACAGGCATCCATTCTTAACCATCCTATTTCCAAACTCAGCCTTTCTAAACCTGATCTTCTGGAACTTGAACTTAGCTTGTGTCGGGTGGGACCTGGATCACAGGATCCATGTTCTGTACTCAAGGATAGATGGACCTGTGACTGTGCCCTGGGGCTTTCCAAAGGTACCTGAGTACCTGCCTGGAGTCAAGACAACAAGAGCTCTGCTACCTGAGTGTTCACTGGGAAGGGTTGTTTGCAACGTCCTTTTAAGAACCCATGAAAAGCCGGGCGTTGGTGGAGCACGCCTTTAATCCCAGCACTCGGGAGGCAGAGGCAGGAGGATCTCTGTGAGTTCAAGGACAGCCTGGTCTACAGAGCAAGTTCCAGGACAGCCTCCAAAACAATACAGAGAAACCCTGTCTCGAAAAACAAAACAAAACAAAACGAACCCATGAAAGCAACAGGGAATGTCAAGAAATGCTTTCCCCACTCTTCCTTAGGAAAGGGTTTAGTCTTCTCTAGGATCTCAACTCCCATATTCTGGGCTGGCTGGGGCAAGGAGCCCCACAGTGACCTTCAGTCCCAGACTTCAGTAGGTACTTGGGTTGTTCTTGGTGTCTGGGAGGTGAGGTGGATGCTTTGTGTTCTGTGGAATGGGAGGAATCTTCTGGGGGAACCTGGCTCTGTGGTGTCATGGCTGCTCTTGGCTATAGACTGGGTGATGGCTTTTGGAATTATCCTTCTTTTGTTCTGCTCAAGCTCCTCTGGTGAATGGAGGTGAATCTGAAGGCAGGTGTTGAGGCTTCTGACCAAATCAAATCCTGTCTGGGACCTGCCAGGTTACCAGAGACCAGAAGTGTGGAACTGGGCAGTAACAAAGGCATAGGAACCACTGGATTGGTTAAGTCTGGGATGTGAAGTGAGGTTGCATCTCAGGGGTGGGGACCCAGGGCAGAATGTAGGGCAGCTCTGGGAGAGTCGGCAGGTGAGCCTTCACTAAGTTTTGGTCACCGCCCTGTTCCTCACTCCTTGAGCCAGCCAGCAGTGTCTTAATCTCCCTGTCAGTCCTCCGAGAGGCCCTACCCACTGGGCCTATTCAAGGCAGGACTGAAAATGTGTCACACCTTTGAAGGGAGCCCAGCCCCACTGCCGGGAAAGGTGAGCTCAGAGGGAGACTTCTGAGGTAGCTCGGGTCTTGGAGGAGGCTGGGACTTCCCCATTACTTCCTTGATTTACTGGTCTATCTCCTTAACTGGCTTCCGAAGGGGTACCTTAAATGCCAATTTGTTGGGCTGGGCATCAGCCAGGCCTGGCAGCTCATTTCCATAGGAGGAAGGGCAGTTTCTCTTCACCAGCCTGCCAGCCCTTCCTCCCCGCCCTCTCTCCCTTTCTGCCTAACCCAATCGTGTCTCTCCTTCAGGGCCAGACAGCTCCCCAGCTGATCTCATACAAACACCCCAGAACTCCAGCAGCTCCAGGAGTCCAAACGCCAGCAGTGGACCAAGGCCCCACAGCTGCCTGCAGTCATGTTGGCCCTCAGCCTGTTCATACTGGGTCTGCTCTCCACAGTGACACCTGCCAGCTGTCAACAAGGTAGCACAGAGCAGGAGCACCTGTTTGCCGGGAGGGAAGGGCTGGGGACCTGGGTAGGACGGGGTGGCAACCTGTGATATCGTGTTTTGGAGGGGGAGCAGGTGCTGGTCCAGTCACACTCCTCTGACTTAGGCTATGTGATTTGTTTTCTTCCAGTGAGAAGTGGGACAGCAGGGGACATGTTGACTCTGGGGTTTAAGGGAGGGACAGGAGTTGAGATCCAAACCTCACAGCAGGAATTGCTCCAGACATGACTGGGTACTGAGGGCAGGGGCTGAGAACTTGAAGCTGGGAGTGGTCCCAAGCTACCCTCAAATGCTTGCTCTGGGCAGGATGGGTGGTGGTGGTTTAGGAGCTGTCTAAAGCCCTTGGCTTTGACCTAAGACCTTTGTTTGTTTGTTTGTTTGTTTGTTTGTTTGTTTGTTTCGAGACAGGGTCTCTCTATCCTGAACTATCCTGGAACTCAGAATGTAGACCAGGCTGGCCTTGAACTCACAGAGATAGCCTGCCTTTATCTCCTGGGTGACCTAAGTCCTCTTTTTCTCACTTTTTCCAGAGTAGCCCCACCATGGTGTACTCTTCGCCAAGTTCTTCCTGTTGTGCTGTGCGATGTTGCGGGAATCCCTGCCCCACTCTGAGATTTAGTCTTTTCATTAATTCTCAGTAACCCTCACCCTGCCCACCTCTCAGAGGTGTAAGAGGTTTGGAAGGGCTCTGTGCCCAGTAGTCTGGTGTCCAGGGGGCTGGCAAAGATGCTCATGAATATTTGATTCACCTCTGAGTCCCATGTCTTGGAAGCTCTCTGAGAAACTGAAGTACCAGAGAGATCTAGTAACTTACATGAGTCAAGAAGGAACAGGTCCCGGACCTTTTTTTTTCCTGCCTTTGACTCTGCCACTTGCTCCTTGGAGCCACAAGAGGAGAAGCAGAGGACTGTGGCCCCTGGTGTCTTGTGAGGAGTTAACTGTAAGGAAATGGGGAAGGGGCCTCCCAGGGTTGTTCCCAATGCCTGAGCATCATTGGCCAGAAAAAGTGATGGGCCCTTGCCAAGCAATCATATTGTGCATCTTCTGCTACTAGGGGTTGCTAGCCAAGGACTGCCATGGCTACAAGCCAGAGAGTTCCAGGATTCTCCCTTTTCCCAACACCTGCCAGCCTCAGAGACTGTACTAAGTGTAGGCAAGTCTTCACTGCAGCTGAAGAGTGTCAAGGAGGACTCAAAGGCCTTTGGCATGGGAATGAGGCAAGCAGGGTTTTTTGATGTCCAGCTTCTTAAAATGTAAGCTACCTCTAGACTTACAGGTGTCTTGTCTGAAGGCAGGACCCCTCCCAAGCATCCTGTTGTCCTTTCTTTGCTCCTGAGGTGCTTAGCTGCTGGGTGCTTGTCTTTGGAGAGTGGGGTCCTCCTTTTAATGGGGAGAATGGTTTTCCTTGGGGCCGCTAGTGGCCTGGAGCCAGAGGCTTCTGAGAAGTTTTAAGGGTTGGGTTTTATATCAAGGGTGAAAAAGTAGAAGGGGTATATGGCTAGACCTTAACCTAGTCTCTGGCCTTTGTGTCCTGGCCACCCTGCTGGAGAGGATGAAGGGGTTCCAATCTGGAACCTACCCTCCCCTGTCAGCGCTGGTCAGCCTGGGGCAGACCTCACCCCTCCTAATCCTCCTGGAAAAGCTTTACACTCAAGAACTGGATTTTCCAGCTGCCAGCCTTAGCCTGGCAACTCTGGATCAGCAGCGGAAGAGGAGGGGCCACTCCCAGCTGGCAGGGCCTAGGCCAGCCACTGGGGCTGCCCTTTGGTCTCTGTTTTCTTGCACTTCCTAGGGGGCCTTGCATGTGACTGTAGGGGCTGTATGCAGGAAGGAGGCTCTGGGAGCCTGAACCTCAGAGCAAACTCTTAGGCATGTTTCCTATTTGGCTGTCCATGTTTTCTTCAGAAGTTAGCATGCTCTAAGGCCCCATCCTTCCCTTGTACTTAGGAGAGTAGACAGGCCTTGCTTATATCCATTCTGGTCACTCAGCCCCTTGGCCCTACCGAGGCTGTTGGCCTTTGACGTAGTCCCCAGACTGTCCTTTGCCTGCAACTCCTTTTCCTTTTCCAGGTCTGGGGAACCTTCAACCCTGGATGCAGGGCCTTATTGCTGTAGCCGTGTTCCTGGTCCTTGTTGCAATTGCCTTCGCTGTCAACCACTTCTGGTGCCAGGATAAGCCGTGAGTGCTGTGTGAAGGCCTGGGGCTGGGCAGTGCCCAGTGGTCAGGGTGGCACTAGAACTGTTGTTTTTACTCTGGTAGGGGATGACCTCAGGAGCTCTGGTTAAAGTCTTGTGGCTGTGAGGATGGAAAACTGGTCCTCAAATTCCCAGGAAGCCTTAGAACCAGCTGTGAACATTTGCAGCACCCAGGCCTACAGTCTGTTGGTCTCATGGCTCTCTCATTGCCCCACTCACACCCCACCCTGCATGAACTCGGGAGAAATGTCTTCTCTCCTCAGTGTCTCAATTTTTTTCACCCTAACCCTAACCCTAACCCTAACCACTTACCCCTGGATGGGAGTCTGGTCTTCCTCCTGAAACAGAAGGACCCATCCTTTTGGGAAATCAGCTATATATGATGCAAAGGACCTCACAGGCACACAGACTGGATAAACAATTCAAGTCAAATCAGATGAAGTCCAGAGTGCAGGACACAGTCTGAGATGGCTTAGGGGTTGGGGGGTGGGGGGAAGTTGGTTAGCAAGGTTTCACCGATTGCACATTTGCTCCAAAACCCGACACACAAGGAGTCAGTCAGAGGATGGGGTGGCATGGGAAAAGTACACTTGAGTCCCAAGTTTGGGCCCTGGCACTGGCACCAGGTATGAATGCATGGAAATCAAAGGCCCCCTTGGTAAAGCTATATCTGCCTTAGGGAATCTTTCCCAGGTCTCACCAAGGTGGCCTGGCAGTCAGGGACCCAACAGCAGCCCTGCACAGCCTGCAGAGTATGTACAAAGAGTTCTGGGGGTGGGGTGGGGAGAAGGACATTGAGTTCCAGTGTGAGACCGGTGAAGTCAGTAGGACCTGGCAGCACCAATGACCTAGACTAGAGGTTTACGTCTGTGCAGCTGGAATCAGTGGATAAGATGCTCTTAACAGAGTCCCTCTGGCTGTTCTGTGCGGGTGCATGGTGTGTGAGTCTGCAGGTTTAAAGACACACGAGGAGGTTGACTATGAGGCTGGATAGTCTGGGCCTGGAGGGCACAGAAGCAGTTCAGAAAGTGATGGATGGATCTAAGGGCTGATTGGGAGGGCACCTGGGGGTTGATGGATGGAGACGGTAGTGGGCGCTACAGGAGGAAGTACAGGAATGACTCTAGAAGGCTCCCTGAGGACACTGAGAACAACCTGAGTTGACTTGGGTGGGACATGTCTGGTGCCATGTGCCTGTGGGATGTCTGAGGACAGCTAAGCATGTTTAAGGGACCCTCACAAAAGCAGTTTGAGGGGTGGAAGGTGGGAACTTCCTGCCAGAAATGCTTTGTTAGCCCTATCTCTGCCTTCTGTGACCACTAACCACGTCTCCTAAGTTGGGCTGTACTGTTGGGTCTATGATGGGGCTGAGGGTGTGTGTCTGCAGGCAGTGACAAGAGACCTGGGGCTTAGGAGAAGTGTCTTACAGCTGCTTGTGTTCCCCACTTTCTTCGTGGATCAGGCAGGATGGTGTGGGACCTGAGGAGGAGGAGGAGGAGGAGGAGGAGGAGGGGAGGAGGAGGAGGATGGAAGCTGGTGTCTTGGACCTGGATGGGGTGGAGTGGACAATTGTGGATGAGCTACTGATAAGCTTCATTTCCAGGGAGCCTGGGAGCATGGTTATGATCGTTGGAAACAAGACAGATGGGGTCCTGGTGGGAATGGATGGCAGATACTCCTCAATGGCAGCCGGCTTTAGGTGAGATGCTACTGGGGAAGGTGGGGGAAGTCAAGAGGAAGGGCTGGCGAGGCGACGAGGGTTCTGTGGGAACTACAGTGTCCCATGGGAAGACAAGGCTCAATTCAGGGAGAAGGCTCAGACAGGAGCAGGGTCTTTGTAGGATAATGGGTGTCATGGGGAGAAGGGGTTCAGTGGGGAAAGGGAATCTGTTAAAGGGTGAGTGAGTGGGGGGGACTCTGTGGGAAGGGAGTTCTTGGGAGGTTCAGTGGGGAAACCTAGTAGAGGAGGAACATGGGACTTGGGTGGGGATGTTTCTGAGGAGCCTCCAGTCCAGGCACACAGGTCCAGATATGTTCAGGGGAAGGGCTCTCCTCTCCGCTCCCTGGAGGCAGAGGATAATTCTGGAGAGAAGGCCTGATGCAGAATGGTGAAGAGGGAAAGAAATAGGGGGAAGGGAAGCCAATGACCCTGTAAACAAGCCCTACCTCCCTTTCCAGGTCCAGTGAGCACAAGAATGCCTTCGAGAATGTTCTGGAGGAAGAGGGCAGGGTCCGCAGCACACCCATGTGACAAGCTCATCCATGGCCCCAGTCCCCAGGCCAGAGGGCACATGGAATTGATGCCTACCACATCACAAAGTCACTGCTCTGCAGGAATCTACTGAAGCAAGCTGACCCTCTCCACTCTCTTGAACCACAGCCATCTCAGGCTAGGACTCAGACTGAGCTGAACACAGGATGTGCTGTGGCCCTGGGGTCTTTTATCCATTTCTGAGGAGCCCTGAAAAGAGATGCCCAGCTCAGCCCCTCCCCTTTCATCTTCCTCTTCCTGCAGCCATGGAAGTGGCCCTTATTTCTGTGAAATAAAGACTTTTTATACTTCTGGGGCAAAGGCTCAGACCCAGCTTCCAGGCTCCAAGCAAGGCCTGGCACGTTTATTTTCAGTCATGACAACTGCCTTCTAGGGTCCATTGCCATTGGATTTACAGATTACCCAGGAAGCCCTGGACCCATAGGGCAGCTGGGGACTGAGAGGCCCAATTGGAGAGGCTGAGGCTGAGGCTGTGTGTGTGTGTGTGTGTGTGTGTGTGTGTGTGTGAGTGAGAGAGAGAGAGAGAGAGAGACAGACAGAGACAGACACAGACACAGAGACAGACACAGAGAGAGACACACACACAGAGAGACAAAGACAGAGACTCCTTGGAGCCTGGGTATGTGTGGGGAACTCCCTATGGGTGTGGCTATGTGTGGGAGAGTTGAACTCATCCCTGCCTGTGGGTGGCCATTGTCTCTTTAGACTAAACCCCTCCTTTGCCTAGAGCCGGCTGGAGATCTCAGGAGGAAGACCCCACTGAGAGCTGGATATCATGGACATCCTCAGCCCTGGTTCATTTCAAAATGTCTTTCACGTATGGATTGCAGGAAGAGACCTGTGAGCTGAGGAGCTTTCCCACTCTGCCCTTCTACAAGAACACTCCTCCCTGCAGCTCACCCTTCGTATATCTTCTGGTTTTTCCTACACAGCACACCGCTCACTCTGCCCAGCTCTCTCCCCTTCCCAGGGCTTCAGGGTGTTGGGCTAGCATACGGGAAAGTGCACTGTGAGGCTGAGACAGAGGAAGCCCACATCTGTGTCCTCAGTCTCCTGTCAGTCTACTGTGTAATCTTGGGAGAGCTGCTGTCACTCCAAGCTCCTGATCCTGTGTAGAGGATTTGGCTAGTCTCTGGTAGAACTAGACTAGAACCCAGTCCTCACAGTGTCCCAGCTCCCAGCCCGGGGTAGGATGAGAGTCAGGGGAACCCAGTCTGGAAAAGAGATCAGGTGGCTCTGAAGCAAGCACTTGCCTGACCTAGCTCCTCCTCTGTGTCTATGTCTCACTGGACAACATCTGTCCCTCAGTCTGTGGTAATAACCCCAAAGAGACCCACTTCCAGATCTAGTGGACTGTGTGCAGCCAGAGCCTCCTTGTTTCGAGATTTCTTTGCCACCGATTTTACCTTTTCACAGCGTCCTTGCTTCCTGGTCACAATTACTTTGTGGTCTAAGGCTTGCCTGAATATCTCAAGGAGTACCCACAAGTCATCTATTCCCTCTTGGGGTTAGGAGCCATTCTGTAATAGAGGAGAGCTCTGAGCAGAGAAGGGCTCGGACTAGTTTCTGCTTTAGCTCTCCCTGCCTTGCTGTGTGATCTAGGGCAGCTCTCCTTCCCTCTCTGGTCTTCAGCTTTAGGAACATTGATGGTTGTTCCTGTGATGACTTCTCTAGGCATTTGTCTTCCGTGGTTTTCTAAAACACATGCTGTCTCACCCATTTCTGCCAATATAAAGTGGGAAAAGACTTTTCCTTTTTCCTCCAGGAACTATCCCTTGAATAAAGCAGAAAGCAAAAGCAGGGAGCCAGGTGGCCCAGTTTTTTTTTTTTTCCTCACTGTAGGAGAGACAGAGGGGATGGTAGAGGCTAGGTCTCCCTTAAGGCAAAATATCCCTTCTTTGGTCCAGCTCCAGGCCGGGGCATTTGGCGACAGATTGGATTCCCCTGCAGGTGACTACATAGCTTCCCACCTCTGTCCCCAAGTTGCTCAGATAAAGTGTAGGTGGGTTAAATTCAGTCCCCTTTATGACCCAGTCTGCCAGGGCCAGGACAGAACCACCTGTGAGGTGTTGCCAGAAGAGGCCTGCTTCCACCCAAGCAAGCCCTGCCGCTCACCCTCAAACCCCCAAATGCAGAGATGCCCTGATGTGCCCTTAGAACCTTGGGATTGCTTCTGCAGGGCCCAGGCTGACACTGACCTACAGCCCTCATCCCCCACTCCATGTTCCGGTCCTGACCAGGGGCTGGGAGTAAAGGAGTGCCCACCCCAGAACCACCAAGACCCCCGTTCTTATCGCCAGCTCCCACCTGCCGGCGTGGTCGGATCAGGAGGGAAGGAGGCTGGGCCAGGGCCAGGCCGCTGCTTAATGACCCTCCCGGGGCCTAATCTCAGACTGTCAGCCGCTCGATGCCTAGGGCCGGCTCCTGGAGAAGGCTGATAACGCACCAGCTGGGCCTCCCACCATCTTCTGGGCCGCATCACCGGTCCCTAGGGGCGGCCTCTACGAGCCTGGGGCGGGGCTGGAGATGAATGCCCCACCCTCGCGGAGGAGGAGACCCGGAGCTCCCGAGTGACCAGGGGCGGGGCCGCACCGACTTAATCTTCTTCCCACTCCGCAGTCTTCGCCCTCCACGTAAGGTCTCTCCGCCGCCGTTCAGTTTCTCTTTGTCTCTTTCTTAGCCTCTTCGGACGTTTTTTGTTCTGTCTTCTGTATCAATCCAGTTTCCCCCTGCTCCTCCTCCATTAGAGCTCAAGGCCAGTAGCCAGCTCCCTCTCGGCGTCGCTTCCAGCCGGTTCTCCCCAGTACTTCTTACCTCCAAGTTTCCCTAAGGTCTCTGCTTGTCTTGCGAGTCTTATGCACCGGTTCCAGAACCTCTCATTTCCCTGTGTCAACTCATCTCCGGGGCTGGCTGGTCGCTACCACCGGCTCTGTGCCTAGCAAGCTCTCCCGCTATTTGGGCAGTCTAGCTGCTCATTTTGATTCCTGGAATAGGACTTGTATCCTTCTTTCCCCCATTCCTCCCCAAACATGTGGATCTCACAGGGTGACATAGGTTCCATCAAAGTCAGGCAGGAAGGGGAATGCCCACTCAGATTGCACAGGTAGAGAGTGTGAAGCAATTGCGGACTTCAGTTAGTCTTGAAGGGGAACTTGCTGCCTGTGGTTGCTTTTGATAAAGGTCCCTGACGGGTGCCGAGTGAAGGAGATGAGTTTTAGGTTACCTCCTCACACTCAGTAACGTGTAATGAATGGGTAATGTGCAAGAAATAGCTTATGCTTCAACGATTATTAGATCAGGCAACTGATGGACAGAACTTCCTCCTCCAGGCCAGGGAAAGGAGTGCCGTGCCAAGTTATATGCTTGCTAGTCCTTCTAGACCACACTCAGAAGCAAGCCACAGGCCTGGGGACATCAGAGCTTTCCTTGGGGCCTGGGCAGGAGACACCTACTTCCTGACAAACTGGACTGGACGTCTCAGCTCTAGAGCCCGCCTACCTTTCAGCTTTCAGCTGTTGACACAGCACACATGAGCCGACTCCCAGTTTAATCTGTGGTCTGTGGGACCTTCTCATGACCCTGCCCAATGACACTGGTGCTGCAATAGCTCCCTTGTAGGCTTCTGGGAGGAAACAAGGGCAGCCTATGTGTTGACATGGCATGCAAGACTTGCTTGCCAGGTAATGAGACTCCCGAGAAGGTGCCTCTCCCTCCCATGTGCCTCCCACACCAGCCTCCGGGCACTCCAGCTCGTGCTTTCTTGGTCTCTGCACTGTGCCATTGGGCCCTTTGCCAGTGTCCAGTTCTAGCTCCAGCTCTCGGAGTCCCGCCACAGCAGGAAGGGAGACACTCTTCCTGCATTGCTGGAATCTGTGGCAAGACTGGATCTGATCAGGGCAGCTGGGGGAAGGAGAAAACATGAACAGGAACTAAAGTCTAGCAGTCCGTTCACCTGTGTGTCTGTCTGTATCTTTCCACATGTGCATGTACACTCCCCCTCCACAGGGTTGTCTCAACATCCCTGATCATCGGATAGTTCTGGAAGTGGGCTGCTCTGCTGCCATCTGGTGGCTGTAAACTGTGGGAAGTGGCAGATATCAGGAACCAGCAGAGTGTGTGTGTGTGTGTGTGTGTGTGTGTGTGTGTGTGTGTGTGTGTTATGAAATAGCATTTACAACCATGGGGAGTTTAGTAGCCTGCAGAGGGACATGGACAGGGTCAGTGCTTTTGGTTTTGTTTTGCTTTTTTTTTTTTTTTTTTTTTGGTTTTTACGAGACAGGGTTTCTTTGTATTGTTTTGGAGGCTGTCGGTCCAGCCTGGCCTCGAACTCACAGAGATCTGCCTGCCTCTGCCTCCCGAGTGCTGGGATTAAAGGTGTGCGCCACCACTGCCCGGCATTACTTTGCTTTTTTAATGTAAGAGTTTTATGATCTCATTCTGAAGTACAGGCTTGAACTTGGTGTGGTCCTCCTTAGTCTCTTGAGTTCTGAGATTACAGGTGTAAGCTCCACCCCCTTGACTTCATCAGAGCTTTTGACTATTTGGCAGGGATCTCCTTAAGTGCTCAGACTCAAAGCCTTGCCTGGCAGAGTCTTAGGAGTCCCTGTTACACCTGCATTTACTGCATCGCCCGCCATTTCCTGTGGAGGGACATCCTCTGTTAGTTGGGGGGCAGGACACACACACACACACACACACACACACACACACAAATAAAAAAAGCCCAGACTTGCACCTGGAACTGAAATGGGGTGGTAAATGTCATCTGTTTGACAGGGATGGTGTGAATAGTAAAAGAAACATGGTTGTGTGCTATCCACTACTCAGACATGGGTTTAAGCCAATATAAAGTCTTTATTAGCCTGCTGGTGACTATGCTGGGTGTTCCTCAGCTCAAGTCCTAAGGGTGGTGGGGGTTAGATCATGACCCTGTACTCATACTCACAGGAAAAAGCATCCATGGTCCAGGAGACAGTCCATTTGGCAGTGACATCCATGCCTTCTACTTTCTTGATCTGGGTGTGGTGGATCCTTGGTGTAATGCCAGCCACCTTCACAGCCATATAAGTGGAGAGAATCACTATGTAGAGCCTTTTATAAGTTGGTTCCAGTGCCTTTTTGACTATCATGTTTGACCCAGATGATGTCACCAGACTTGAACAAGTGAAAACTGGTGGTGGACCTGGAGGTCAGCTAGGATAGTCTGATAAATAGCCTTCATGGAGAACTGGAGAGACTTGAGAAACGAATGGCTAGAGAGTTTTGCTAGCTGCTGGTCTCCAAGCCTGGGAAACA